CGCTTAGAGAGGGCTGAAAGCCCTATGAAGCGGTATATAAGTCTAACTGCTATTGCTATTGCTATCTTTCATTGGTGCTCTCCAAAAAGATTATATCCCCATAATGGGCCACAGCCAAGGGTTGGGGGCCCCTGGTTTTAGCCTTTGATGTCTTAAACTTCCTAAAACTCCTTTCCATGTATGCCTGTTTGCAAAAAAAAAAAAAAAAAAAAGACGAGGGGGCCACCTTGGATTTTCTGTAAATATCTCAGACTGTTCAGCATGAATTGAACGGTAGCATGAATTGAAGGGGCAATTGACTGATAATGGGCTGTCTTCTTTAACCCATAGCTTATTCCCCACAAATGGAAAACCACATCCTGTCTTCTGGCAACAACGGCACTTTAGAATACAAGACTTCTATGGCCCCCATCTCACCTGGAAGATACTCACCTATCCCAAAGCACATGCTAGTGGAAGATGACTACCCCAGGTTAGATATTCGCCTTTACTGAGTGCCTTTGATTGATATGCTGGCTTCCAGGAACATGGGTTTTCTTTTTTCTTGCCGGAATTTTGATGCTCCACAGAGTACGAGCCTCTGAACAATCACATTTATACAGGAAAGAGGCAGTTATGATCCACCTGGCTGCCCCTTAAGATAATAAGGAGGTGCACTCTTTAAATTTTAAAAGAGGGATTCACTTCTCGGTAATTTAATGGTTAGAAACGAGAGCTAAGCTAGAATCAAGAGAAGGATAAATAACGTAGTGACTAACAAGGAGGAATTTCCTTCGTGCCACTATTTCTCTTTGTCGTAACCTTTGTTGTTGTTGTTGCCTCATCCTGTCCCGAAAGATCAGGTCTTCGCTCTGTTTCGTTTCGTTCCTTTCTGTCTGATCATTTAGAAACATTGTGTTGGATCCCAAAATTTCGCCGTTTGTCTGTCCACTGCATTCCGCTTTACCTTGTAACTTGTGAGATTCGAGTTGCCCCCTTAACTTAGCAGTAGAGCCTTTGAATTTCTGTCTGTCTCGGCCACATGGTTTCCCCTGTGGTTTTAAACCTGGGGAGGGGGAGGGAGCACCACTTTCCACCCCCACAAAGCTAATGTTTGCAGTTCTCACGGCCTCCTTGGTCTTCATATTTGAATGCGATGCGCACGCAAGAGTAGGTGGGGAAAGGAATTCCCATTCATTTGCTTCTGAAGTCCCAGGAGAGGGGGGGGGGGAAACATTTCTCGCAAAAACGGGGGCTTTTTTGCCTTGGCCCAGCCCTGCTGAAACCCGCAGAGTGCTGCTGGGGGTGAGTGAAGGCAAAAAACTTTTTTATCCTACTTACCTCTTCGACATCTTGGTGCGTCTTATACACCGGTGCATCTTATAGTCGGAAAAATACAGTAGGTCAAGGGTGTCAAACTCAAGGCCTGTGGTCTGGATTTGGCCCATGGGGCTGCTATGGAAATAGCAAAGGACCGGCCCATAGTCAGTGAAAACGGAGCTTTGGGGAAGCGCGTGCAGCCCCCCTGGGCTCCGTTTTCACTAGCAGAGGGCTGCAGGAGGCCATCGCGGCCTAAAACAGGGGCCAAGGTAATCATGCATGCCCCCCCACCCCACCCCGAGCTCTGTTTTTGGTGGCAGAAGGCTAGCAGAACAAACTGTAAGCAAACCAAACCGAAGGAGAAACGTTTCCCCTTTTGCATTTGAAGGGACCGGAAAGGAGAAAGGGAAAGAAGTAAGATAAAGAAAAAGAAGGAAAGATGGAAAAAGAGCAAGGAAGGAAAAATAAGGAAAGTGGGGAAGGAAGAAGAAAGGAGAAGGAAGAGGGAAGGAAAAAGAAGAGAGAGAGGGAAGGAAGGAAGGAAGGAAGGAAGGAAGGAAGGAAGGAAGGAAGGAAGGAAGGAAGAAAGAAAGATTATAATGAGAGGGAGAGAGGGTCTGAGGGAAGTCCTACCTTAGCACTTGGCCATCACAGGTGCCCCCCACGCGTGTGACTTGGAACTGGCCACGCCCCCCCCTGTGTTCTCCCTCCCCCTCCATGTTAAACACAACCCTGATGTGGCCCTCAATGAAATTGAGTTTGATACCCCTGGATTACGTTGCCTCTTCTCCCTCATATTGTGCATATTCTTTTCTTCTGCACTAATTTTATTAGTATAGTGAAGATATATTGGATAATTGACATCCCCAGGAGATAAAGCAGAGGATGCTCCATACAAGCTCCCCGTGGTAGGGTTTCAGATGCTACCAAGAACTTTTGGCATTTTTGCCGGAAAGTTTAAAATGATTGTGGGGTCCTTGGTGCTCTCCGAGCTGGGTTGTTTTCATGCCAACTGATGCACTGATGATGTTACCTAGTTGGGTCATGAAACGTCTGCAAAACCACCCAGTTCAGAGAACACCAAGGTCTCTACAGTTCAACTCTGAGCTAAAGATATTATCTTCCATCAACATGGTTATTGCTTCTTTTATGGCAGATCGGGGCCCCAATGAAGGTGAATCCCCCATTTCCAAACTTTGAGAAATATTTTAGACAGTGAAATGCTGGTGATGAGGAGCGTAAATCCACAGCCTTTCCCAATTGCCCTAAACGTTCAAATCTCCAGGCAAAACATAGTGGAGGAAAAATATATTTAAAAAGAACTAAATAAAATAATTTAGACATCCCGCTTAAGGGAAGGAGAAAACTGCCAAAGTCTTGATAATTTATTCTCTGTTGGTCTACAATTGGATGAAGGATGCAATTGTGGATATTCATATTCCAAGAGACATCGCAAAAGGTTTCAGCAGGTTTAGAACGCATCTGCTTGAATGTTTTTAAAACTACCGCAGAGAATTTCTACCTTTAGAATGTTACCAACTTTAAGATGTCTGGACTTCAACTCCCAGAATTCCACAGCCAGCCATGGATGGTTGAGACTGGGGAATTCTGGGAGTTGAAGTCCAGTCATTTTAAAGGTGCCAAGATTGAAAAACACTGGTGTATATAAGTTATATAAAAAGGGTAGGCCTTGGGATCTGAATCATCTCACCATATTATAGTTCACAAGAGCCAAAATAATAATAATATTTGAGTGACTCCCAGTGGTGGGATTCAGCCAGTTCGCATCTATTCGGGAGAACCGGTTCTTAACTTTCTAAGAGGTTCAGAGAACCGGTTGTTGAAAGAAATCTTCTGTTGGTTTTTTTCCACTTTATAGTGCTAATACTGTAAGGAAGACAGGAAGGAAACATTCTGGTATTGTTTCTAGCTTAATTTTTATTGCCCTGCTTACAGAAACTGCCTCTCCGGTTAACCCTTATTACATTGTCACAGCTAAGGCGAAACACCCATCAACCTGAGTAATGTTGAGTTAGCCACGCCCACGTGGTCACAT